CTTCGGTAACAAGATGCAGTAGGATTTGCCAGTACTGTGGCAAGAATCATGAGGACTGACTTTGTTATCGTCTCAATAATACTTTTCGCATATGTGGGAGTTCCCAACATTATGCGAGAGAGTGCCTGCAGAATCAGAATAAGGCCAGACCTCTTATCAAGGACAGAGCTTAAAGCCTAACCTAATAGGATGCGAAAGCCAACCCGGGCGTGATACAGGATACGTACACTATCTATAATCACCTTGCACATGTTTTGATTGATACTGGTATTTCATATTCGTTTGTCTCACACAGTTTTACATAAAACTTCAATATATCACCGAAAAAATTTGATTTTATGTTTTTTGTATATAATCCTAAAAGTAGGACACTACTAGGGAAAGTTATATTCAAAGCTTATATCATAGACATAGCACGTAAGAAATTGAGTATGGACCTTATAAAGATTAACACGTGAAACTTTGATGTAATTTTGGGAATGTGCTGGTTAGCAGTGTACCACGCCACTGTAGATTTTTTTTCACAAGAAATTTGTATTCAACATTCCTAACAAATAGTCATTTACAAGTTAATGAAAATTTTAAATGTTATTTTCCCATGATAATTTCTTTATTATATAGTGCTTTAACTCTGTTGTCTTTTCTACTTTAGGCAAATCTAAGAAAAAAGTTTACGTTTAAGAGATTGTGGTAGTTCAAGACTTTTCGGATGTATTTTCTGATGAACTACCCAGACTAGCAGTAGATAGGAAAGTTGAGTTCACCATAGATCTTCAGTTTGGCACATAGCCTATCTCTGTTGCCCCTTAACGCATGAGACGTTTTGAGATGGAAGAACTGATGAAACAGATTAACGAATTGTAAGACAATGGGTTCATCCGACATAGCATATCTCCTTAGAGTGCTGGAATTACATTTGTAAAGAAAGATGATGGGATGTTACGATCATGTATTGACTACAGGATTGAACCGAGTTATGATCAATAACAAATACCCCTTCCCCAAATTCGATGACTTTTTTGACCAGTTGCAGTTGCCTAGTCTCTCTATATTACGTTCGGGTTACTACCAGGTAAAGATCAGATAGAGAATATTCCCAAGAGAACTTTAGAACCAGGTACGGATATTATGAGTTCCTCG